TTAGGTTGTGTTGTAATCTTGAATTTTAAGCTTGGTGCCGATATATTGAGATCTACTGTATTCGACAGTGGAGCTATTTATTAAAATATCTCGTAATTCATTCGTTTTTTCGACATACTACCCCTATAGTTTTTCACTGAGAATCCTTCAAAGAACCTCCCTACATAGCGTCGTTTCATTAAAATAAAAGGGAGGAACAGAAAGGAAACGTAACCTTCAAATTTTCGAATAACCTTAAAATCCTACGTACACATTATTCCCTAGATAGTGGAGTACATCCTCCAAGTAAATGTTTGTCCGTAGAAGAACGTAAATAATTAACGACGCATGCCCTTGCATATCTAAGAATTTTAGCGACTCCGTTCACGAAATATCGGATCGCAGAAAGTTTTCCGAGGACACGAGAAACGTCTCCACTTGATTTCACGGTTCTCCACCCTGGCTTCGTGGAAAGTTCCCATTTCCATTTCAGTTTCGGAGGTTCGCTGGCCCTCAGAGAGGGGGTGGCCACCCCATTTGGCATGCATTAACCCGTACCCACTTCATTTAGCTACGTGAGCACGTTTTTCCTTGAACTTTTCAATTCTCGATAACGAATTTTCTCGAGGACTTGGAAATGCTTTCCCCGACACTTCGTGCTCTTCTTTCAACCCCTGGTACGTTCCGTGCCAGCAACGTCACCTCTCAGCTTTCTTATGGTTTGCTTCGACTTCGGCCAACGATTCCATACAGCTGTTTCTTCCAGGACTTTTCACGGATACTTGAAAGCCCTCGCCCGTTCACGTGCCGTGCCGTTTTCCTAGCAGACGCGACGATGAAGCCGTTCCCGGGGAAACTTTATCATCGACGAAAGTTTCCGGCAACGACCGACTCTCGCCCCGAAATTCTCTTAGCGACAATCAGCTTGATTATCTAGCGCGATGCAGTCCGGGAAATAGTGGATTGCTGGGATTTTCGGGAATTTCATACTGATTTACTGCGCCCCTTGGATCGACGCTTTCTTACGTCTTATTGCTGTTTTGGGGAATTATGGAACTTGGGAGACGAAAATTTTAAGGGTTGAATATTTAAACAGGGAATTTGGGGATTTGCGAAAATGGGGAATTTGGGAATTGGAATATATGGAATCTGGGGAAATTGAGAATTTGAATTTATGGAATCTAGGGAATTTGAGAATTTGGATGTATGGGATCTAGGGAATTTGAGAATTTGGATACGTGGAATCTAGGTAATTTGGGAATTGGGATATATTGGATCTGGGGAATTCGAGAATTTGAATGTATGGAATCTAGGGAATTTGAGAATTTGGATGTATGGGATCTAGGGAATTTGAGAATTTGGATACGTGGAATCTAGGTAATTTGGGAATTGGGATATATTGGATCTGGGGAATTCGAGAATTTGAATGTATGGAATCTAGGGAATTTGAGAATTTGGATGTATGGGATCTAGGGAATTTGAGAATTTGGATACGTGGAATCTAGGTAATTTGGGAATTGGGATATATTGGATCTGGGGAATTCGAGAATTTGAATGTATGGAATCTAGGGAATTTGAGAATTTGGATGTATGGGATCTAGGGAATTTGAGAATTTGGATACGTGGAATCTAGGTAATTTGGGAATTGGGATATATTGGATCTGGGGAATTCGAGAATTTGAATGTATGGAATCTAGGGAATTTGAGAATTTGGATGTATGGGATCTAGGGAATTTGAGAATTTGGATACGTGGAATCTAGGTAATTTGGGAATTGGGATATATTGGATCTGGGGAATTCGAGAATTTGAATTTATGGAATATAGGAAATTTGAGAATTCGGATGTATGGGAACTAGGGAATTTTAGAATTTGGGTACGTGGAATCTAGGGAATTTAGAAATTGGGATGTATAGAATCTAGGGAATGTGGGAACTAGGGAATTTGAGAATTTGGAGATATGGGAACTAGGGAATTTGAGAATTTGGAGATATGGGAACTAGGGAATTTGAGAATTTGGGAATGTTGGAACTAGGGAATCTGAGAATTAGGATATGTGGAAGCTAGGGAATTTAGAAATTTGGATGTATAGAATCTAGGGAATGTGGGAACTAGGGAATTTGGGAATTTGGAGATATGGGAACTAGGGAATTTGAGAATTTGGGAATGTGGGAACTAGGGAATTTGAGAATTAGGAAATGTGGAAGCTAGGGTGTTTGAGAATTTGGAGATATGGAAATTAGGGAATTTGAGAATTAGGAAATGTGAAAAGTAGGTTGTTTGCAAATTTGGAGACATGGAATCTAGGGAATTTCCGAATTTATATTCATAGAAACTAGGAAAATTACACCTGAGAACCTGTCATATCAGAAAATCTGGAAACCTATCACTCTAAAGATTCCTAAATTCAATAATCTTAGAAATTTAAAACTTTGAAAGTTAGGGAACCTACAAAGTATTTCAAACAAAGTATCACGGTATCTAATTGAAACATGTACATACGTAGTCTGTAAAATTTTATTAATTTAAAGCTTGACATGTGAATGTAAAATTAAATGAAACCGCGCAAACTGAATATTCAAATTAACCCGCTAACTGGTTTAATCTGCATACTAGACACTTTGGGCTGCTTATGTACGTTTTACATTTCCACTACTGTAGAATCGTCTATAAAACCTGCTGAAGTTAATCCTTATAATGACGCAGCGCATACGATATGAAATTGGATGTCGTACCTGTTCAAGAATCGTCGAATTATTATACTCATATAATGGGTTATTATTCGGAGTATCAAGGGGATTTTGAAGTAAAGAAGTCTCGTGTGGATGCATCACATAAACGTATCGCAAAAAGGTTTAATATATAAATTTATAATTTGAAGCTTGTTGTCGACGTCCTTAATACAAAATGGTCGACTCTGAATTTATCTTTAATCTGACATTTTGTATTGAGAATATTTATGAACCACTTACCGATGTCAACCCACGAGTTGGCGTGTGAGCCAGCTGTTTAGAGCTACTGTCAGAATAGAAAAATGGACGCCTTTTTCGGTATATCGACTCACACTAATTAGACCAAAAATGACAGTCGGCAAACGTCTCGAGATAGCGCGAATCGCGTTCAGCAGTTATGGTCATTATTCTTATTTGCCGAAATGTAACTGGAAGTGTTCACGGTGGTTAGGTGGAGCGAGTGGCTTCTTTTACTCTGGCTCGACCTACGCGCCAACTTCTGGCTTGTCTATAGTAGAGACTGTGATGATCCAAGGGAACGTAGGGATTCTGGAAAGCTAGGAAATATGGCGATTCCGAGGATTGTGAGAATCTGGGGAATTCGGGAACTGTAGAGAATGTGGGGACGTGGGGACCTGGGGATCCGAGGGACTGTGGACTGTGGAGGTCCTAGCGAACTTGGCACTGGAGACTGAAACTGTGGATATATAGGGAATCT